CTTTGGCTCTTTTTGAATGCCAAGCACTCTTAGCTATGCCCGTCCGAGCGTCCTCTTCGGATCTCCCCTTAGAGGACATTATCACGAGAATTAGTACCTAGTTTTTTATTATATTATAAAGGAAAACGCGATCCTTCGAAGAGACAAATAAAACCCGCAAATTGTGACTGGTCCATCATAGATGAATTAGACGACGATAGTGATAGTGAATATGTTTGTGGAACGGAAGGTTCGTTATTCTTTTTTGTGACTTCTTCAGATGAAATGAGCGATGAGGGGTCCTCTTTGTCTTCTTCATCAAATTCAGAGTCGTCGGCCTGTTCATCTAGCCGTGAGCAAGGGGAATATCCAGCTGATGATATATCTGAAAAGGTATCTCAAAGCGTCGATGCCTCAGTATTACTAAGTGTTAGGGATTCTGATGGTAATTTTTAGCTATACCATATTTTTAGATGTCAATAATATTGATAAATTAGACGAAGCCAGCACTCTAAAAGTAAGCAACAAGGTCAAGGAAGTCAAGCTCTGCTTATTGTGCCTTGAAGATCGTGATGAAGCAGATGATGAGCTAATTGAATGCGATGGTTGTGGAATCGTTGTGCATGAAGATTGTCATAAAATTAGTGGCTCAATTTTCTTATCAAGTGGGACTAGTTCATGTAGTACTGACCCATGGTTCTGTGAAGTCTGCCTAGCTTGTGTCGAGGATCCGGTATGCCTCTTACAAAAAATTTACGATTTAGCTTTGTGAATTATGTCCAAATAGAGGCGGTGTCTACAAGAGAACAGATAACGCCCGATGGGTTCATCTTTTATGTGCTTTATACACTCCAGGTGTAGCATTCAACGATCCCGAAAATCTCATGGAGGTACGTCTGTAAATTACAATGTTTATTTTAGGTAACCTTAACTGAACTACCCGCTAAAGAATGGTCGGCACATGAATGCTCTCTTTGTGAGGATCGTTTTTTTGCTTGGACCGGTATTTGCATTGGATGTGACGCCGGGCTTTGTCGAA